ATCAGTGGAACAGTCAGAACACACACAGTTATCGATTAAATTCCCTTTCTGATATGGGCACTGTTTGTGGCTCCCCTAAACAATTACAATAGTAACATCAAAGATCATTGATCACAGGTCACCGTAAAAATATGATAATGAAAAGTTTGAAATCTTGCAAGAATTACCAAAATGTGATACAGACATGAAATGAGCAAATCTGTTGGCACTGACAGACTTGTGACACAAACCTTCAATTAGTAAAAAGCATAGTAAAACAAAGTGTACAGTAAAATGAAGTGTGCCTATATTTGTCTTTCTCTGTCTGACTTATTTCACTTAGCAAAATACCCTCAAGGTACATCCATGTTTTCACAAGTAGCAAGATATCATTTCTTTTTATGGCTGAATAATATTACTCTGTGCGTGTGATACACACATCCATCGATGGACACTTAGGTTGTTTTCATACCTTGGCTATTGTATATAATACTGCAGTGAACACAGGGTGCATATATCTTTTTGAGTTAGTGTTCCACCTAGAGGCAGAATTGCTGGATCATATGGTAGTTCCATTTTCAATTTTCCGAAGAAGCACCGTACCATTTTCCACAGTAGCTGCACCATTTTACATTCCTACCTACAGTGCACAAGTGTTCCAATTTCTCCACATTCTTCTGACACCGTTCATTTCTTGTGTTTTTGATAATAAACATTCTAACAGGAGCGAGGTGATAGCCACACCTCCATTTTTGAGTGTAATATGAACATATGTGTACCTAAGATTTGTATAAGAATGTTTGTTATACAGTCATAAGGCCATAACTGGAAACAACACAAACTCCGTTAACAGTAAAATAGATAAATACTTATTATGTAATCATATGACAGAATGCTGTATAACAATGAAAATGTATTATCTGCCTCCCACAACATCACCGATGATGTTTCTTAGGGCTCTGCCCTAGGCCCTCTGCCTCTCCTTTTCACTTCTGTGGCTTCAACATTTATTTATGTTCTCAAGACTTTCAACTATACTGCTCCAGCCCAGTCTCTGTTCCAGACACTGAAACTCAACTGTCTATTGGACATCTCTACTCAGATGTCTTACAGATACCTTAAAGTCAGCGTATACTGAAGTCATTTCCACATCCCCTGAATCTGCTTCTCTAGGAAGATAAATGTCTCAGCAAGTGGCATCAGCATTCACCTTGGGGATCATTTATTTGTTGACCAGCTTCTCTTACTACTTCCACTCCCCAAAATGTAAACTCTAGAGAGTAGGAATCTTTTATGTTTTATTCAGTAGTGAATTTAACAATGCTTAGAACAAAACTTGGCACTTAGATATATTTTGTTGAATATGTCTTTCCTCCTTTTTCTATATTCAGTTTGGTTTCTGAGCTCTATTGGTTTTTTATCTCCTAAATACCTCTAAAATGCATTAATTCCTTCTGATGCCTACAGCCCCTTACCTAGCTAAGACCATCATCTACTGTCTGGACTACTGTGAGGGTACCAAGGAATGAGCGGGTGGGAGCAATATGGAAGAAGAGGTATTGGGTTAGGCTATATTTATATTGCTGGTGAAATACCTAGTAGGCAGTATGTAAAACTGCCTTTTCTCATAGTGGATCCAACTTTATTCACACTTAGAACTATATTGATTGTTACCTTATGATATTTAACTTTTTCTGTGGCCAAGCACTATAATCATCTATGTGAGCTCATTTATTCTGGGAGTGGGAGCTGAAGGTGGATTGGGAAGGTAAAGGATAAGAAAAGATAATAGAAGATCTGCCTATTGTTAGTCCATATTTCTTTCTAATGACGGTCCCACCCCCTCTCTGCTGAGGGTCACTAACTTGACTTTCCAGATATACAGGAGTGGCTCTGTCCCATTTCTCTCTGAATCATAACAGTTATAGCATCTTAATCTATTTGGATAAAGAAGCCCTCAGTTCACTATTGTAAATTGAACTTTCTAATCCAACTTCTGTGTTTTTCATGTTATTATACAATAGTACTATTGTTGGCTTCTTGTGTAATATAAGACAGTGCAAAAACTCCAGTTTTCTGCTTGGATTGTTTGTATTTAGGTTTCTTAACACATTTTTGGTAAAAAAATTGCAATAGTCTCAGGGGAGCAGGACTTAAAATTGGGGGCAAATATTGCTGATTCAACAGGACTTTCTTCCGTAGATTTGAAATAATAAGTTTGTTTTTTTCTCACCGAGTTTTCCAGTTTAAACATCAACTAGGTTGGGCTATAATGTGTTCGTATGTGGGGGATTTAGTTAACACGTTTTTACAGATACCACTCTGTGAAACTGTTAGGCTTGTTTTTATATTTATCTGAACAAATTGATTTGTCTCATCCTCTGCCCCATATAAATAAGCTCCAGGAGAGCAGGAACATCATCTGTTTTGTTCTTAGTGCTTAGTGCCAGATGCTTAATGTTATGAGCATTCGACAGTTATTGACTGAAAGAGAAAGCCTTCTACTTTGGGGCTTGGGTGGTTTTTTTTTCTTACAGTATTTCCATCTTTCTTTCAGCATTGGAGAGGGGACTCTTGAAAACACTGCAGAAACTGGATGAATATCTGAATTCTCCCCTCCCTGATGAAATTGATGAGAATAGTATGGAGGACATTAAGTTTTCTACACGTAAATTTCTGGATGGCAATGAAATGACATTGGCTGATTGCAACCTGCTGCCCAAACTGCACATTGTCAAGGTAGGCCTGTAGGATGTGGTGTCTCATTGCCGTTAGACCTAGTATTCTATCTACTAAGGTAGTACTTTCTTTGTGCGTAAAACTTTTCTGATCTGACATACCACTGGGAACCCCCCAAATGGTGTATTGTAATGATGTTTAGGCAATAGTTGAAATACTCAATTAAATGGAAAATTATGTCTTAAAATTGAGGCACATGAGAAAGAGGAATATTATTTTTTCTGTGACTGCATAAAAATTCAAAGATGTAACAGGTAACATCGAATTGGATTTATGTCATCAAATCCTGTTCTGTGAACACCTGGCTTTTTCTGTTCAAGGCAAAAGATATTTATTGAGCATTTATTGTGTGAGACACTGCTAAATGGAACAGTAATAAACACTAATTATGCAATAAAGAGCAAGAAAAACAGATCTCAAATAGTGTGTGTATTTTAAAGTATCAAATGATTACATTTGGCTGGCTCTCTGCATGGTCAAGACAGTCATTTGTAATCATTGTTACAATTCTGAATCTCTGGTAGAGTTTGCAGTCCTTATCATTATTTTACATTCTAGTTAGAATGGAAGTGACTTCTAACTTCATTCTCCCTCTTTCTGATGAAATTGATGAGAACAGTATGAAGACATTAGCTCCCCCCCCCGCCCCCCAATAGAAGCAGTTCTCAGAGATTCACAAAATTAATTGCCTTAAAGTCAGAGCTATGTCTGGTTTACAAGACATGGAAAGTAAATGTTAACTTCTGATCTTTTTGTATTTCAGGTGGTGGCCAAAAAATATCGCAACTTTGATATTCCAAAAGGAATGACTGGCATCTGGAGATACTTAACTAATGCTTATAGTAGGGATGAGTTCACCAATACCTGTCCCAGTGATAAGGAGGTTGAAATAGCATATAGTGATGTAGCCAAAAGACTCACCAAGTAAAACAGTACTTAGGCGAGAGATGTCTTCGCATCTTTCCCTGATTAAGAATATGCTTTTCCTAACAGACTGCTCCTCTTCCTTTAAAGTAGAAATTTTATTTTGCATGAACATGGCAGTTATTCAAGATTAAGATAAAGGATAGACAAGATATAGTAGCTATCTTTAAATATACACTCCTAAGCAGTATTATTTTAAAATTCTTTTGACCCTGCCTACCTTCCTGACCTCATATCCTCCTCATCTCTAATTTGGAGACTCTTCTTCACAAACTTTTCACTTTAGAGGTAGTTTGCCATCCTTTTGGAGCCCTCACCATTGCGTGCATTCACTATGTGTAGGTGGCAGGACTTTTGAGGTGCAGTGTTCAGCTGTTAAAATAGTAACCATGACCTCATCAGTCAGTCCCAAACTGGTGCATAATGCATGGTACAAGGAATATTTATGTATTTTTGGAATTTTGTAATATTTAGCAAGAGTATATGAAAGGATTGCTACTGTATCAAAATACTCTTTCAAATTAGTCTGTCTTGGATGTATACTAAAGGGCGTTAGCACTGGAGGAGAGAGCCTTCCACACACAGAAAGTCACTCACTACAGATTTTGCTATACTTTGTACATGGAATTTTACTTTTCCTAAGAGCATTTTTTCTTTATACCAAATATAACATCTGACACTATGTAGAAGCTAAAAGTTTAGAGGGAGGAATGATATTCTCAAGATTGTCTCCAGCATTTTATCCATGTAAGGGAAACCAGTGGGCACCTGATACTCTAAATGTGGTTTTCGTTGTTTATTCTGCCCAGTGCCATTCATTTGGAACATAATTGCTTTCTTCATTTATTTTAAAAAGTTCCTTTTTAGTTAAGTGTAGACTTTGCTGTTTGTAGATCTTTTGAGCAACACTACATAAACTATTTAGTTCATTTATCTATAACAGTACAGTGATTAGTAAGGTAAAAATTAACACTTACAGACATTAACCTAAGGAATGTAGGGTGAGTTTGTCAAAATATCAAGTAGAATTTTGTCTCTAAAGCATATTTAATGTGGTAATCTAAAGACCGCATTATCCAACCTATATTAAAAAAATAGATAAAACATACAGATTACCAGCTTTCCCTTTCTGCCCCCATTTACTGTTAGACTTTGGGTAGCAGATGGGTCACTCCTTTTGGACTAAATTATAATTGTTATGGTGAGTATGTATTTACCACAGCTTTGCCTAATCTCAATCATTGTATTTCCTTCAATTAAATTTTTCTATAGCCACATTGAGGAATAGCACTCTGCATGTTTGTTTTTTTAAATTGAAGTCATAAACCAGTAATTATTTGTGCTCTAACAAGGCAGGATGAACTTGGTGAAAATAGAACAAAAGTTTGCTATGTATTTATTCATTTTTTAAAAATTGGACTTTCTAAGGACTACTCCAAAGATGGGGTTGTGATTATATTACATTTTTGGTAATTTTTTATACCTAGCTTGTTTAAGAAGTGCTATTTCTCATAGGATGTTTTTGGAAATTTTAAGTATATTGCTTTAAATCGGCAACAGTTTTCCTCCTTTGATATGCTAACATTTAGTAAGCACTGGCTTTATGGAAGCAGCCTGATTTTTATAAGCATACTGCATTTTTTAACTTATCAGTAATTAGCTTAATATAGAAAGATAAGAAAAGCTCCATAATGTATCCATTTGGCTCAGGGAGATGTTTTTGCTTTGCCTTTCTTAGAACTCCTTGTTGCTGATCAAAGAGTTTGGCACCCACCTTTTTGTAATTAAATATTGGATGATGATTTATCTGGTTTCAGGAAGAAGCACTATAAAGTTATCTATTGAGAAATTCTATAGCAGCAGCTTCAGTGGGTGAAAATGTCACATGTGTCCCAGTACACAGATAGCCATCATCACTTTTCACCTATTTTTTCGGGTGATATTGAACCTTGTCTCAAAGCTTTAAGTATGAAAAAGATCAAAAAGAAGGGGTGTCTGTTCTTTCAAGCGAATGATGGACTAAGTGGTACATAGTAGAGGGCAGCTGAGGAACAATATTTCTTAAAATAGAGTGATGAAAAATGCATTCTAAGACTTAGTTGTGAAGTATTTTCACCTTGGCTATTGTGCCTTTTTTTTTTTTTTTTAAATTTACCCCATGATTACCCTTGGCTGTCTCAATGATCAAGGAGGGCAGGTCTGTCTATCTGTTATGATTTTGATAAGGACAGAATTATTTTCTTCCATAGAAAGACAGATCTTATTACTTTATCAGGGGAATTAGTCAAATGAAATTGAGATTGGCAATTGGAGAAAAGCTAGTAAAAGATGATCCTAGAACATGCTCTCAACTCCATCTTATATTTGTGGAAAGATCATAGCTTAAAATCTTAGGAGATTTGGGATAAAAGTTTTCATGGCAATTTATGTAGTGTATGGGTTTACATAATGGAAATCATCTGATATTATTTCTGCAACTACTGAATCATTTCCCTTTTCATTTAAACTAACAAGGAGATTAGAGTCTGAACGGAAGCTCTCACTATTTCCCAAGGGATTCTGAGAATGTTTTGTGTTCAATAGTTGGAAAGCTCTCTACCATTTCAGTTGATATGACTTCCTTTTTTTCA